GATAAAAAACAACAACAATTTAAAACCGATCAAAGTGTCATGTGAGTATTGATCAAATAAGTCAGTGAACCGAACCATTTATCACATCACTATCATGTATGCACGACGACACTCAGATGCTGTCATGTTAGTACCGACGCATTCAACTCACAACCACAAGAACTAAAACGACGAGTCAAGGAAGATGATGTGCATCATCAGAACGTCGCAAGAGAACGGACACCCCGTTCCGTCTAGCAAAAAGCACGCCACGTTCCGGCTGCGTCTGGAAACCACGATGAATGTAATAAAAAGGCGTATTTCTCTCAGTTCCATTTAAAAGGGATGCCGCTTTTGACTTACTCAAGAGAAGGCTCTCAAGCGAAGTAGCCAAAACTTTCCCATCCGCCTACCAGCGAGTACTCGCGCAGAATGCTCCATTTCTAGCCCAACATTCGAAGGACAGACTCCAAGTCCAGTCCAAATCATACGTTCTGCATCGATTTACTTGCATCTGCGGTGCAAGATATATTGGACACACAACTAAGTGTTTGTCAAAAGGGGTAGAAGAACACTTCCCTGGATCGCTACGAAGAGGCTTGCCTAGAAGCATCAATAGCGATATCATGGAACATTTACTCCTGAGTGGACATGAAATCCGGATAGCAGACACGTTCAGCGTTTTCTACTCTGTGCCGCTGCGTCAACCTAAAGCGCTCAGAAAGCCTCTATTAAAGATGGCTGTGGCCATCGCTATTATGCTGATCCAGCCTGTGTGCAAGCAGAAAGCCCTAATGCAAGCGCTTTTGTTACCTTGGCCCTGCGGCTGTTCCTTGATATTTGACACTAGCAGCGTAACGTCGGCTGCGTAGCCTACCTCCAGTGGATCGGCCTAATTATCGATCTAATTTACCGGTCTCGTTCAAACAGCAGCAGTCCTCAATCTAGCTTTCATTAGCATACTGCGTTGCTTGTGTCTTTCTCATAATTGTAATGGCCTGATGAGAATTATTGCAAAGAGCCCTCTTCGTTAATCGGACATTTTGGGGATTTGAAAAGTTTTTTTCATGGCAGCTATTAATATGCATTTGAACCAACCGAACCGAATGAAGACGCTAAATACAACAAGCGAATGAACAGTTGTGAAATGAAAAACGGATCAGTTATTTTCTTGGAAATAGCGTTATGGGACGCAAACCAGAAAGTGAACATCCATTCACAACAATGGGTACTGGCCAATCAGAAATACGAAAAGACGTATTTAAACAAGGGCCACGAGACAGACGATCGGAAGAAATGAAAACTCAGAAATTAGGAACTAGTACAAAAGATGTATGTCAACTAAAACTTCTTAACGTAACGAATTTAAAATCTATGGGAATAAAGATCTATTAAGTATGTTCCTGGTAATAATGCTGCTGAAACTGACACATAGGATGAGCGTCCATTAATAGCGACATGCATTTTTCATTCGGGTTAATGACATGCAGCGTTTAAACAACTGCCAAGAGGTAGACGATAGGATTAATGGAAGACTGTAACTAAGATCGTTCACTAAAAATAATGTCAACTAGAGATTCTAACAGATCGTCACTTTCGCAAGGCAACCTCAAGGAAAGATAGTTTCCACCAATTCGTACCGACTGTATACAGTAAACCTACCGGGATGCTTTTAGAAGTCAATAGTGCATCATCTAGACCGGTCGTAAAGCTGTACTGCCCATAACAGGGGCATCTTGGTGGCGCATCGTAATGTTTCTTATCGTTCTTAGCGTTTAAGGCACGAAACCACTTTTCTATTTTGTTGATTGGTGGTAATTACTTTGAGGTACATGCGTTAGTTGGCTGCATCGAACACCTTCATTTTGTGTCTAGGGCAATAAAATGATGTATAGAGGGATAGTAAGGGAGTTGTACGTTATGAGTAGAATTTCCTCACATCTCGACTTAGACAGTCATCACATCCCGGAAGAGCACTGTACGGTCGTTTCATCCTTTCGGGAAATCTCAGCAATGGCCATTCCAGCTGACCCTTCTAGGGCTCGAACTTGCAGCTCGACTGTTGCCAGCCTGTGGTTGAGACCACTGAGCTACTGGGGAAGTCAACTACTGTCGTAAATAAGTAACTAGATGGGATATGGCGTCGCTCACTATTCACTAACTTGCTCCTTACTACCGTGCAGAGAACAGGGGAACCCCACACCAAGCGACGAACTTGCCAAACTTAAGCCGCCAATTAACTTGGAGAATTTTAAGAAGTTTGGTCTTCGTGCTGGTTACAGAGGAATAGTATGGGGAGTTGGGCGTTGTGAAATGCGCACTGCTGACGACTGCCGAAAGGATGAAACAGCCGTACAGTGCCATTCCGCGCGTGTGATGACTATCTGACAGAGTCGAAATATGATGACTTTCTAATTATAAATATTGCATAATTTGGTGATGTTCAGGAAAACATTGAGAATTTCTCCGTTGACTACATAGCGTCAAGTGTATAAGATTAATTTTAGCATATGATTGGTTTACATATTGGATCGCTACGACTCAGTGTTGGCTAATATTTCTTACTGATCTGCAAACTTCAGAGCTTCGGCATTGGTGATCCGCTCCTAGGATGGATCACAAGCTTTCTTCTCCACCGGAGCTTAGAGGTAAAAGTGCGTGGGTCCCTGTCCCACCCAATCCAAGTCGAATGTGGTGTACCACAAGGATCGGTACTGGGGCCACGATTGTTTTTGATGTATATTGACGACATAGCGGCCCGCATTCTTTCCAACTGCCTACTCTATGCCGACGACATCAAGGTCTGGAGCGAGATCAATAAACCATACGACTCCGCAATACTTCAAGAGGATCTGGATAAGGTGTATGCGTGGTCAGTTCAGAACCAACTCCCATTCAACACAGAAAAACGCAGAGTATTACACTTACGTCACCAATCAGCATTTTTCTATAAATTGGGTGACCATGTGCTTTACACAACTGCTGAGGAAAAGGATTTGGGAGTCTTGATTCAATCCGACCTTGGTTGTTCAGCCCAGGCAAAGAAAGCCTCGAACGCGAGCATTCGAAATTTGGGCCTTCTCAGGCGCACATTTGGACGCTTCGATCCATCCGTTTTTCACCGACTTCTAGGCGCATACATACGACCACACTTGGAGTATGCAATACAAGTCTGGCAGCCGTGGCTGAGGAAAGACCTCTCTGGTTTAGAGAAATCTCAACGACGCGCAACGAAGAACGTGAAAGGTTTAGGCCAGTTACGCTACGAAGACAGACTGAGATAGCTCGGGATATTTAGTGGTCAATATCGACGACTACGGGGAGATTTGATTTTGGCTTATCAGATTCTGACAGACCCCAATCATACCTGCCGCCATCTGCTGGAGCTCAGTAACAACAACAATCTGAGAGGCCATCATCTGAAGCTGGCAGTGCAGTACAGCCGTTTGGAATGTCGACGGAATTTCTTTTCCGTGCGTGTTTGCCAAGCCTGGAATGCTCTCCCAGAATCTGTAGTCAGTGCACCCAACCTGATGGAGTTCAAAAATCGACTTGATAGTGCACTCACTTCATTGCACTATCTCCCATAGTACAGTCTAATTTTGAGAGATCCAAAATCCATACTTTAAAAGCAATTTTCCCCACGCAAATTTCAACAGTGGATTTATATTTTGACGCTTCAAACTCAAACACTTTGCCCCATGCGAATTTCAAGGGGCGGTGACTCTTTTAACCAAATACTCCATACCTCATGATCCCCTCCGGAGTTATAGCGGATTATTATTTTGACACTTCAAACTCGGTGAGTCCACAAGCTTGGAGTGACTCGTTGTTAAACGATTTTACTGAATTGGTTTCCATTGAATTTTTCACACTTCTATGACTTTCGCACTGATCACCCTATGGGATTTGTCAAGCTTTAGCTTTTATACCCGCATAAATCCATTGTTCCATTGTTCCATTGTTACTAGAGTGAAACAAACCTGCCCTCTGTCAGTGTTCACACGGATGCAATAAATGAGTTAAGTCACTCTAACTTGACCAGTGCTCCTTGTGCCCTTACCATCCGCGTTCTGAGTTCAGACGCTTTTTGTGGATGCACAGACGAATCTTGCCAAGTGCTGAGGTAACATTTTAATCTCGGTGTGTATTGGCTAAGGAACGCTGCGATTGTCTGCTGAACACATCAGACCAAGATTTGTCTCTGGTCGCTGATAGTTATACCACAGAAATTCTACGTGATGCTGAAGTCAATTTGGTGACAACTCCTCGGGCAGTTCGTTGTTACTTCCACTTAACTGCGTTGCCTGTTTGATTTGGCCACATTTCTTGTGTGCTAACAAATAGCCACAACCCGGTGTGTGAAATTCGCCCTAAGGGCACCGGGTCACATTCTGGAGTGACCGGAGCACCGTATTGCGGTGGTATGACGAAGGTGGCAAAAGGGATGTGTCCTGCCATTCCATCTCCCGCCATGCCGATCACCTCATTGCATGCATCAGGTGGTAGAATTTTTCGCTCACGCGGCTTGGTCCAGCTGTTCATAGTTCTTATACCCGACGCCTCAATTCCCCGTATCTAGTGGTTGGGACCTGCTCTGCCCGTAGCCTTAAGGATCACAAGCCTGACTTGTAATCCCAGGGCCCGGGTTCGCGTCTGCGTAAGGAACCGGGTGATCCTCGCGTTACCCACGCGCGAGTGGTGGCGTTAATTGCGCGACAGGGAAGCCTCAGTACCGCGTACCGGTGTACAGCTGATGTCTTTGTTTGAATTTGTTTTTTAAATTTTTCCCCTATTTTTCACTCATTTACCTTCAACTGTCCAAATGGTGGGTTGTTTGCCACTTTATACCACCGATTTGCAACTCCCTCCCCAAGCTGAACCGAACGGCTTCTCTCTTCCGCTCAATCGGATTTTTGCTAAGCACCGTTTACCATTGCTTGTTATTAGTGAGATAGAATTTCTGCTCTGGTCACATACGTATATCCGGTTGATCACAACTGGTTTCTTCTTCTTCACAGGGGTCACACACCGGTTCAAGCTGACAGAGGTTTTCTGGAGAATGCCCGGAGGCTGGCACTCTATGGAGTAGAATTCCACAACGCAAAAGTGAGTGCTCAGTGATTTTTGATTTATACTTGCGTTGAACTAATACGCATGCATCATCCAAAACTGGTTATCCAATGCACCTGAGTACTGCAGCAACGTTTTTACTCTCTGTCTGTCGAGTAGTAAATTACCCGATTTGTGTGGCCCTCCGAGAGACAAACGAAAGTTGCACAGCCGTAGCGGATCTATTCTCATGAACCCAATAGTCATTTACACTCTGCTTACATTTGCATTGCCCATTCCTTTTGCCTAAGTGAAAGTGTACGTGGCGCAACACATTCACCCATGGGCCCTTACCCGTAGACGGTTCAAGGTGACGGCGATAGGCGAACGCGGAAGCCCGTCCTACCAGATGATGCCATGACTACAAGCAGCTGCATTCCGACGACTCTGTGCATTTAGGAAGAATTTGTGGCTAGAGGGCGATATATGCTCTAGGTTTCATAGCATCCATGTTGAAGACACTCGGGTGCAAACTTAAGCCTGTGTCTGAGATTCCTAAACCTGCTTCTTCGACGGGACACTGAATATCGATGACTTTGACCTAACGAAAGCTGGGTACCCGGTGCCTCTGGCTGCAACACCATAGTTGCGTCTGGTCATTTCGTTCTCCCACAACTGATACGCTATCTTTGCCTACAAAGTCATCAACTGCCTGTCCGGCTCCACGCGCCGTCTACGAACGGTGCTTATTTTTGGCTGTCCTAGGGATTTCTCGCAATAACCAGTGTGACGACATGCAAAACTACGGACGGTTTTATTCAGTCCACCTGATCCATTGTGAAGCAAGCACCGTTGTGTGATTGGTCTAGGTGCCAGGCTACACGTCTAATTGATGGTGAGGAAAGACCCAATGTTGGTTGGGATGGTACAAGTTCAGGTTGGACTGCAGCGATAGCAGAATTCCGTGAATGTTCCTTCGTGAGTGGATCGTTGAGCCAGGAATTGATGAAGTGCTCAGAGTTCTTGATGGATCTAAAAAAGGAACACCCGTATCGCACCCTGGGCCAACCAATTAATGCCCACGTTTTCTGCCCTAGCAGTCCCTGCTGTAACAGTCGGGTGAAGTAAGCAAAGGATAGGAAGAGTAATCGAAGGTACAAAACAAGGAAGTTCACTAAAAATTAGAGCATAATCCCGATGCATGTAGGTAGAGAAAAGAAAGTCAAAGTATAGATATTCGAGTTAGCCAGGAAAATGGAAAGGTTTCGTGTTACCCACCAAGTGTGTCAGGTTGACGCTCAAACCCTTTAACCGTACATTCCCTGATAACACTTTCCGGAAGCATCTTCCAGCGCATGATCACTCGGCGTGACAGCCGAATTTTCGCCCTAATCCGATCGGACCGCGTTTTGTACAGCTTCATGAAATGACTACGGAGACAATTTAGCGGGACCGAATAACCACGATAAATCTGGTCCAACCTTCCCAGTTAAGACGGTAGGTTATGATTAGGTCTCCTCTAAGTTCGGTAGTGCATTGAATGCATTCGCAAATTAAGCAGATGATCGGGGTACGTCTATCCCTGTAATCCCTCAACCAATCTAGTATCCACCCATAAAACCTCTCTAGCTCCATTTTGTCTCAGACGAAGCAGGGCGGACAAGCCTACTTTTGGGGCAAATATTTAATAGACGACTTCAGACCGTTTAGTGGAGGAATAGGTAGGTAGCAACAAGGAGTGCCACTCCATCTCACCGTATGAAGCATCCATCCTCCTCTGTGCCCGCTACCGAGGCATGCATTCAGGAATAGAACAACACCAGTCATGTCGAAAAATTCGGTTGAGTTCCTTTGCATACCGTCATTGTTGGCACATGTTAACTAATGGACGTCCATAGTGTCCACTGTAACTCCAGAAAGGTCGTTATCAAACAACACCTGGGGGCCTTGGTACCATCCATTCAGCTCTCTTGGTCCTATGTGTACAATACTTCGGTGGTCACAGGTGAGCTTTCTCTTGGTAATCTCAAGGCATCTCCGTTCCATGCAATGGCTTCTTGGGCTGTGGTTACACCGTACTCACTTACCCTCACCAGAGAGGCTGCTATGCCTTCATGCGCACGGATGCTTGAGTTTTCAAATGAACCTAACGAGCTTGTGTGGAACCTAAGTTTTGACACATTCGGTCTACATCAGGACAATCGTTATTTCATAGCAAACTATATTGGCGCGAGTTCGCACATTACAGTCCTTATGAGGTCACTTTAGTCGGTACCGTTAAACCCCCTTGCTGCAGGATTAGTGAAATGTATCTGACCGGAATGTTTGGCCCCGGAAACCGAAGATGGAAGTCAGACACATGCAAACCTCTCCGGTCTGCAGTGCATAGACAAACAAGGCGTATTAGCGCCTGCTACTTCAATGACCTGTTGTTTAAAATTAATATAGTTTCAACTAGTCGCGTCGAGATGATCTACCAAGCGAAAATTGATGTTAAAATATCGGTTGAAAATAGGTTGGTTCCCCTTCTAATCGCATACCACTTCTTATCTCACTGTAGCAAAAATAGTTTGCGTTAGTTGAGGCAATTATTTCCTGCGATGTAGTTTAATGTGTATAACCAATGCATTTTACGTTTCTGCTGGAGCGATATGAAATGACTTTGCATTAAATGCAAGTCGTAACGGCAGCGGGTTCTGGCGAACTAATGCTTGTCTGTGTAGTAGATATGTGCGCTGATGAAAATGACTGAGAGGCTTGCTCAGATTGATGCGTGCCGTTTTCACGGTTGGTCCACATCAGCGAATGGAGACCGAATCAGACATGGCGCAGTCCCATTGTCAGTGAGGCTTATGCATTCACTTTCTCGTATCTGGTTGTTAATTTTCCACCCCGATTCCCTTTGCGCATTCCTGTGCCGATACTTTTTCCTTTGTATTCTGTTTGTATTTGACCACATTTTGTTGCCAATTTTGTTTCTTACTATGCCGGTATTGTGCATCGCGGCAACTGGATCCACCGCACTTTGGGGCCTCGAAGTTGAGCTGAGCTGAACCCTGCTGAACTGAACTGTGATAGATGCTCGTATTACTGCAGTTAACCCGGAAAACCTGATTATCAAAATGGAAATTCACGACCGGAGACCGAATGCCAGTCTTGATATACGCGACCCGAGAAATGGTACCCTAAAGTGACAACTTGGTGATTTCGTTAGTTGGAGGAAAATAGTGCGATATGTTGCTGACTATCTTTCGCAGACCATATAATCGTCTTTACGCGCCAGAGACTTTAAGAAAGTCAATTCGTTATCAGCCTTACAACTTGCAGGTCCCGGCAGCAGTATTGTTTTCTGTTGGATATAAACCCTCCCCGGTCTAACGCGAAAATTTTCTCCGGTGAACTATGATGACATTCATTAAAACAGACTTTAGTACAGCAGATTTAAAATATTTAAAATCTTTGTGTGCCGTTTCAGTATTTTCAGCTACATCATACCTGTCGGGCCCACCAATGTTTTGGGACTAGACAAGCTGCGAACCCGAACGTATCCCCATATGCCATCCAAAGTACATCAGTCGGATACAAATGGCACTACAAACTACTCAAGCATGTATTTGCTACGTAAACGCACTGGCTCAGCTGGGACTACGGTTAAGGAAGACTATTTTAAATATGGTGTACATAACACGTGGTTTTTAGGACTATAAAGTTTACTAGCTACCAGGGACCATGACCTCTCAGGTACCTCTCCATACTAGCTAGTAGCCCGTTTAATCCTATCCTGGTAGGTTTTTTGTATGAAGGGCGGATGGATTGATGATGGGGCGATCGATTGTTCGCTTTAAAGGATTTGCGCTCCAGGATTTAACTTTTTCAGATAGCTGCGTTACAGATGCACACACCAGGATACATTTGGAAACCTCTACACTACTGCTTATTTCTTTTGGTGAGACTCATCTTAAGAAGTTTGGTGGCTTTATGGTTGAACTCGAACTATTAGGAGTCTCAAGGTGGCGGTAACGTGCGTAGTATTGGAGGGCGAAATGTTCCGTGTAATGTATAAGGGCAAATCCACTTAATTTCTCGTCACCACTTGTGACTTGCGGTGGTATCTGATCGCAAAGGATTTGGCGAAATTACATAGCAGGTAGGAGGAGGTTGGCGTAAAACGCTCTTCAGGATGTCTGATGGGGTTGTCCTACAGTACCGAATTTGCAGCAAACCTTCTTGACACTATCCAAATTCATCTACCAATAGTTTTGCTCTTTCGTTACCAATCCACGGTCACATTGTGATGACCTACCGCACGAGAAGTAACCCCCTTTCGGCTACGAATGAAACAGGTCATTTTACACTGGCTTATGACGCCCCCTGATCTTGCTGCAGGTATTATCTTTGTTTTTTTATGCTAATTATCCTCTGCAATACAATTCAGTACTATATCGTTGTTAGCTTGTAAATTATGACGCTCCGAAGCTATTCCCCGTGGCCCAGTGGCATAAGTTGCTGACTCGCGGTTCAAGACGCTGGTGGTCATGGGTTCGAATCCTGATGGATCCGATGGATGTGTACTACTGACGATGCCCAACTGGCTGAAACTGCAGTCTAGTGGTTTTCCGGGCATATGGCCGACTATCATATTTGGAAGCTGGCTGAGAAGAAACTCAATTAACTGTAGCAAAATCCCTACGCATGAGCACATCACATAAATAATTGTTTTTTCCTCCACAGTGCGTGACACGCCTGCAGAGGCATGATCATGGTAATGCAACAAGGACTGGTAAATCTAAAAGCGACACAAGTTTATAAGTAGCATATGGATCCATGTGCCAAGTGTGTATGAATGCATGTAGGTAAGAACGAATGTGGTTGTGTCGCTTGAATTTGTGCATGTGACGCTGTACTTAGGATTGATTTCGGTCAGGCGTGAAGAGTGAAATGAAATCTTCCTAATGGGTGACTCATGTCCGTTGATTGGGTTAGATCATTCAGATACGTAAGAGGCAGTGACTTTAGTTAGTGGCGAGTCACATCCGGCACGTCACAGTGTTGTTAAA